GTAAACTTCAGACAGTATGTAATGATATCTATTCATTTTCAATATATAAGAATTATTTGTTTTAATTTTATGTTTTTAAGGCATTACAGTGTTTGTACGAAAAATTAGCAATTCAGGCAGTTTTTAATGCGTGCAAAACACAAAATCAGTGTAATATGAACGACATTACAACAAATAAAAAATTCTATACGTCTATTTATAATGTTTAAGACTGAGAGCGGGAATACGAGTTTTTGTTGTATCCGATCTACCAGTATTAGTTGATGGTAAACATCCGCTTCTCGAAGGATATTAATACTCGATATTGGAAGGAAAACAGTGATTACTGAACCAGTAACTAATACCACTAAGTACTACTGAAAATAACTTCCGAGTATATTTATTACAAATTCGATATCTCTCTATTTTGTGGATCATTAACCCAATTACACGTTGATAAGATTAGGAAGTCTTACGCGGAAAACACTAAAAAGTTGCTGTTCCTCAAACACACATAAAAATGACTTCTGATTATTCTATGAACTTTTAAACACAATTAACGGATTATTTCTTTAAAGATTGAACTAGATTTGTTAATGTAGCAAAGTGTTATAATATTTCACTCTGTTTTAGTTATTGTTAAGGGTGTTTAAGGTTGGTTTGAAGTAGATTATGTTTAAACTAATATTTTTAAATAGTGCGAAGTTAATCTTATCTTTAAGCCGCTTAAACTACTAGTGACAAATCAACTAATTTTCCTATTTATAAAACTTTATTATTTACAAACACCACAATTATATTATTATCTGTAGTTGACGCAAAAAAAATTTAAACACGTCTAACGGTTACAACTTGAAATAAATAAGCCGTTTTACTGTCTAGGAATGCTTCAAAAAGCGAAACGTCGCTGATAGTTCAAAATAAGTTAGTTAATATATTACTTGTTCTAAACAGTTAAAAGTGTTATATTTTAACAAACTATTTATATGTACACATCCTTATGTTGGGACATTAATCTGAATATCAACTTGAATGTCGTCAAGTTGATGCAGATGGTGATTCGACCAAAAAAAGATTGGAGTGTTTCGGAATACGGACAAAGCCGTACCATTTATTCACTTGTCAGGATGAGACGAAGGATCCAATTTAGTAATTCCTTCTCTTAACGACTTGGAACTTGACCTTTCACACGTGGTCCACATGTGATAGCTAAAATTAGCGGTTCCCACAATATTGCGTATGATTTCAATTGATAGCTTGCTCTGCTGTTTGCTTGATTAGCTATTTCAAAAAACATTATAAAAGAAGATATAGAACCATTTTGTGATAATCTTGTGAATATCTTCTTCATATACTAAGAACTTAAAATATCATTCTAAAAGGTTGTTGTTGACCGTACTAATAATACAACCATGTGATGTCTTATAATGTTGATTAGCAGGTGTATTTTTTTATACTGTCATAGCTATATATATATATATATATATGTCCGTATTCCCAATAAATTAATAATGAAGCTAAGAACTTTTACAAAATCATACCAATGAATAATTTTAATCACACCTTTAACAGTTTAAAACGCGATGTATACGAATTAATTTATTTTTACAACGACCCGACGTTTCATACTCCATTACGACGTGGTCACAGTGTGATTGAAAGTGGATAGTATCCCTAATGGCAAAGTCAAATCTGCTATGCCAGCGCCATCTGTTTCATCGTAGTTGATATTTGGAGAAATTAGTATAGATATAGACTCATCAATTTATAAATGCTAGTCCCTTGCAAAGCAATGTCATTACAATATCTTGGTACTATTAAATTACAATACTTTATATGAATGTGTTTCATTTATTACAATTTTCATTCATTGAAATTTTTATAGTCATTACAGACACACCCGTTCCGTTTAAAAATAGTCTAAATTAAACGTGTTAAAATTCAAAACGTCTCAAATATTTCTGATTTACATACAATACGAGGGCTGAATAAGACGCGGCGTCGATTTTTCTCGGAACTGGTTTATGGCTAAAACATGATTGACTACATCACTACAATAGACGTAGCCGTCGCATACCTGCGGCTACTAAAGAATCTATTGTTTTACACAGTTTTTAGGGTTCCGTAATGAAAGGGACAACGACGGAATCCTAACTATCTAGGATGTACTATTCAAATAGGTATAAATAAATCTATATGTAAGATAGTTCCTTAACCAGTTTCATTTTAAGATGAAAGAGAAAAATGCTTCAGGATGATGATAATGTCTTCTATAATATTATTTAATACTAAGATTTTGTTATCACTCTGTCTATCAGGGTATATCTCATCATCTCAACCGACTATTTAAGGGGGGATGGAGTTCTTTATTAAAAAACGCGACGTATTTACATTTTTTGCTAGGTATCATTCGTAGGCACTATAATATTTACAAAATACTCGTTAGTAGGTAATTAGGCTTTTATACTAATTTAAGATACAATAAAATGCGCATTGAATGGATGGCAACAAACAGACAAACAAACAGCGCTGAACGTTTCTAATCTTTATTTTATGTAGCGATCAACAAATTTTCTTTCGTTTTGAAATGTTTTTTAAGTAGTCATTGCAACGGAACCCTATGTACGCCAGACGACTCAACTTAGCCCGTTTTATACTCGTATTAAGTCAATTTTATACGCGTGCAAAAAGGGTGTGTTACTTTACTCAATAGGTCCTTTGTTATTTTTAATTATCGCCGAATAGAACAAAGGTACGCCTCGAAGAGAAAATATATTGTATTTTGCGGTTGACTTAGATGTCAAGTCATCCTATTTATGAATCAAGAGGAAAAACACGGACGCTATTGTAATACAAATTAAAATTGTAACAGAAAAGTGCACTCAACACATGTTTGCAATTCAATACATTTTTGGCCCGAATAAAGATTTTATTATTATGCATATTAATATACAAGTGAATAGATTATTTATTTATAAGCTATATTTAAAGTTAATCGATAAAGGGTTTTATGTAATAAGTATTCAGGAAGATTATTTGGAGAAGCACAATGTAGTCTAATTTAATTTTCTTTGAAAATATTGATTTCAAAACTCAGGTTAACTCAATAAATTGTGTAAGGCGTTCACGGCTATCGTTCAGCATATCAATGTCTTTCGGGCTGTTCGGCCGATGTGAGCGAGAAGAGGTTCTCGTCGTTTCGCCATCACGTGCGGACGGCATCATCAGATGTTAACTCCTCGATTGCTTGAAGAATTAACAAGTTATTTCAGGTTAACTCATTCAATATTATGGAAATGTATGACGTGTTATGTGTCATCGCGATACCCAGAAAATGCAACAGAACAGTACTGTTGCATTTTGCAACAAACAATTGTAAGAGTGTTGAATTTTGTATAGAGGACAGACTAGCCTTATTTTTACAAAGCGCTATTGACTTATTTTGGCTTTGGATATTCGGAAATCCACAGATTGAAACCGAAATTCCCTGGCTTTGTAATCTGTTGACCTGTTGTTAGACGGTTATGGCGGATCGACTCCAGAACTCCATCTAATGAAGATCACTGTATTGACCTAACTTCCAGTTATATGAAAAATCTAATTAAAATTGAAAAAAAATAAATATGACACGGGTAATAATATAGTATTCAAGCTTCTTGTTTACTATAAACTTACTTATGTCGTATTTTATTTATCTCACGTCATGCATCACATGCAGCGAATATGTTCAGTAGAGCAGCAAGCGGTCATTTACCACTCGTTAGCTCAATCTTGCGACCTTCCAATTACACAATTATTGTCCAATCACGCGAAACGTTGCCAAAACTAGGTGTCCAGTACATGAATTGGAACGAGTTTTGCTTCTGTTACACTTTTTAATGATTCGATCGTAAATTACCTTATGAAATATATTCAATACTATTAATACAAAGTATAGGTAACATGGCACGCATGGCAGTTTTAAATCTTAAGTTGTTTTTTTTAACAGACAATGTCTCAAGGAAGACATTGCATTGGTTATAAGTGTAATTCCTATAACAAGAAGTACGCGTGTACATTAATCCGTAACATTTGAAGGGATTTACGCGAGTAGTACCTACACATTCAAATAAAACACTCTTAACGGTTTAAAACGTGCAATATATATATAATCGTTTACTTAATATATTCGCGTGTTAAACCGGTAAAAGGCATCATATAATTTGAAATAATTTATCAAATTCCAATAGGATTAAAATATTTGTGATGTAAACTAAGCTTAAACGTCTTTATTTTGATCTAGTATATTATCATGTTTTCATGATAATACACTAGAAGTCATAAAAGTTAAATTAGCTTAGACCGGACATAATTTATGCAACGTACAAAATGACACTGACACCAGCTGACCTAACGGTTTGACAACGGGAGAAATATAGAGGAAAACACTTTAAATTTCGCTTCTAGATCACCTTAATGATTCTCTGATCCAAGTCAAATCATAGCCACACTTACTGGTTAGTCAAGCACGAAACCAAATTTAACCGCGGCACCGCTAGAACCACTATGTCAAATTGATAAAATGTCGCGAAAGTGGTCTGGCTACACGGTCGTGCATTCCACACCATTAGATACGCAAAAATTAGACCTCACAAAACAGACCTAGCTCGTCTAAGCTTTCTTAAGTCTTTATAAAGTGTTACGCCTTCCTAGGAAACTTCGAGTTATTATGTAGTTTGTGTAACACTGAGATTCTCAATACACCCAGTAATATAATTTAGCTAATGGTAGTTGGAGTTTCCGCTTCTGTAGTCAAATGGTTAAAGGTATTAAGGTAAGGCCTAGAATTGCGTTAAGCGCCAGAGGTCCTGGGCTCGAATCCCGAGGAAACGAAAAATTGTTTCGGCCAGGCAGTGCACAGAAATCCGATCAACTACTTGCCTGTTCAATATCGGATCAGTGAAACGGACACAGAAATGTGTTCGCCCCATGCCCCACGAGATGGAAATGGGATTTCACACAATGGTAGTTAGAAATAATATTTACACACTTCTAAATCTCACAAATGCCTTGATGATAAGGAGGGTAGATCTATATTTGTCGATTTCGCATGACATTTTCAAAGCTTTCGTCAGTTGCAATATCGAAAAGTTACTATTACTGACCTGCCCGGTGGCTTTCTTGTACCGGAGCGTCGCTTCCCGTACGAGGTCCCTCACCAAAAGGTCACCAGCCCCACAAGGTACCAACACTCGTACAGCACCAAAGCACACCGTCACTTTCATATTGAACTGTACTGTCCACAGTGGGTTAATCCAGCTAGCATATTAGTTATCGATAAACTAACAGAAGCCCAACACTACCTCACGCACATGGCAAAGGTAAGCTTGCTTTGAGACCGTTCACGAAGCGCGGAAACAAAAAGAACAAAAACACAGGTCTGACTGTATGTGTTCATAGTTATTGCTCGCCGTACGCGTTGGAGCCACACGAATTTCACTCGTAGTATCACTTTAATTCAATAATGGCATTCCGCATTTCACATTTCGATAAGATTGCGCGAAATATTAGTTACTAGCGCACGCTCAACGACGGCAACGGTCGCAGCGAGGTATGAATAAGAATTCGTTTGATAGTTGTAAGGGGTGGCGCGGCGCGGGGGGAAAACCGGTTGTTTGAGCCAATGGGCGACGGCGACGCGACGGGCAGCTGTGCCCGACGAGACGCGTCATACCTGACCGGTACCACGATACCGTACGATCTATCGTATCGCTGCTCGTTTGTATCGCCACACATACCAACCGCCGAGCATTTTGAATTCAATCCGTCACTACGCGTACCTGACTCATTGTCTTGAGAACTGTGCGCCGGTAACGAAAACTTGAATCATTTAATTACTGATAAAACTATTTATGAAGCAAACATAGGATTAAAAAGATCAATACATTGTGAAAGACTGGCCTCATTCTTTATATTATCTAATACTGTAACTGATAGGACGAAGGTATTTGATCAATAACATTGCCATGACAACCATTATAACAAACTGCACTAGGATAGGTTAAGATAAGGATGAGTGTAACTATGGTCAAATTCGGGTGAATAGGCATGAGATTGTCCTATAAGGACAAAAACTAAGAAGTACAAAGTTATAAATGCACCAAAACCAAATATTAAGTTGTTTTAAACGACTTTCCAAAATGGCCGAATAAAAAAACATAATTATATAAACCAGGAAGGGTTTATGCAATAGGAATAGGAGCAATTATTCACACTTCAACAATTGTACAAAGCAATTAATAACTATGATTTCTAATCCGTTCTTAACTACATACAGTATATTATCTTTTCCTCAAAGTCTACCTTATATGCATGTAATGGCATTGATACAGTAAGTACTTAATAATTGCGTTATTGGAATGTTTGTGTTTAGAAAACAACAATTACTTGATTTTAGTACGTAGCTAAAGAAACTAGGTCCCATTAAATATATAGTTTTAAGTAATTTTTGAGATATTTCACGTTTTAGTTATGTAGTCATATTATGTGATAAAATGAGGCCGCTAGAGGCAGAGTAGCCTAACTGCAATAGTCTAAAAATGTTAACATGATTCTTAGACAAATAATAGTACAAATTCATTTTTGCCTAAGTTTCATGAATTTTTATCTTCCTCCTTATTGAAAATCATGGTTTTCTGTTATTAGGCCGCTCTGCCTCTAGCAGGCACATATATTATATTATATATTTTTAAAAAGTAATATTTTATTAAAGGATATCTTAGACAGAGGAATAAATATCTTCACCTTTGTTCAAGGTCTGTTGATTATTAGTATGCAATACATGATACACTGACCAACAAGCAATGCCAACACTATAAACATATTAACAAAGCCGTTCTGGGTAGGGTATATAATTAAACTGCATTATTTTAAATCACTTTATTCAAATTTAAAGAATTGTAATATTGATTAAATTAATTTTAAATAAATAAATGTTAATAATTCTTCAAATACGCGATTGAAATATATGCTAAAAATCATCTACAATATCAATATGTTTTTGTTACAAGTGTCGATATACTTCGTTATTTTTTTTTTGACAGTAACTATTGAAGAGTATATAAGTCAAAGATGGTAACTTTGAAATTTTGAACTTTTCCATAGGTATTTTAAGGAGATATCATCTAAAATTACGCTAAAGGTACAATATGAAGTTATTCAACTACTTGTTCCGAGACATGTTTTCGTTCGTCTACATGAGAATATTGTAAAATAATAGAAAACATTGACAACAAAGGAACCGTTTAAGCACGAAGTATTTGGCACTATAACATAGGTATCTTAAAAATTCGTACTTATGTCAAGAACAGCAAACGATAGAAAAGTGTATTATATCTTCACAGCTCGCTAAGACTACTTAGAATATACATATTATGTAGCACTTGACTGATTAACAATATTTACAAAGATGAACAATTCACTAGATCTCGGGGAAGTAAATAAAATGTATAAAAAATTAAGGCATAACTATATTGCACATCGAGTTCAAAATCCTTTTAAAAGTAAACAGGGTCCCAATTTCCTGTCATTTTCTTGACTTGGCCTGTACCATTTGGTATTCTGCTAGTGGCTTATGACCAAAACTGATATTACATCGGCTTGTTAAGAGGAAATTGACTGTTATTTGCACTGTCGTCTTGATGATGTCCACATACTTAGGACTGGTAAATAAATTATTGGAGTGCTAAACAATTTTTTAATAAACACTTTTAACGGTTTAAAACGCGAAACATATCTGTTACACTTTTTTAACTAATATGTTTCGCGTATATTAAGTGTTTTAATGTGTACTACTCGGAATTACTAATTTTTACGAACGACACGTGATAGCACAATAAAGCACATCTATTTGAATAGCTTATTGATAGGCTACTTTGCAAAGAGCAATGCTATGTAGAAAACAATTCCTTTTTTAAACATCACAATGCAGTATAAGAAAAGTATTGTAATTTCTTAAAAGCGCAGTCCTAATTATTTGGACATGTCTATTTGGTCTGTCAATGTCAGCGCTTCTCGAAACAACAGAATTGGGTCCCCGTAATGAGATTATGCAAAACCGCAAATAATTGTGTACATATTGATATCAACAGACTTGAGTCATCGAAATATTAAGTACAAGCTTTTCCGATTCGACACCAAAATAATGCTATAAGGATGATTGCTAACTTCTTACATTAAAATCGAATACGACGTGAAATTGACGAATCATTGACTTATTTTTATATTACGGAGCTACTGAGAATATTCTACAACAAATATTCGATACTGGGTCTTATATTGTACTTTGGGTTCAACTACAAAATCGCTATAGTTACGAAAAGAAAGAGGACAAATAAATTGTGATGAAGATGGCACGACTGCGAATTGTGAAGGAAACGATGACTAGAATTGAGAGAGTCATGTCGAAAGTAAAAATCGAGGACATAGCCAAGTCAAGGCAAAATTGGGATCGCGAACGTTTTGTCCTTATCGAAGTTGTATTTTCGCATTTTGTTAACTTGGCTCGCTCCGGCCTCTGTCGAGACAGCAATATAACACTTAATACAATGAAATGCAAATACTTATCTAATAGTGGTAATCATCACTCGCGAAATGGATGTCATAAGAACACCAGGGTCCAGCCCTTAAAATTGACATTGGTCGAAGTTCCGAACACCTACCCTCTATCACAAGTCACACAACGAATAATTCTAAGTCAGAGCACCGTGTAGTTGTAAGAGATCATCGGGGGGGCATTCTGAAAGAAGTGATATAGGTTTAAAAGATAAAACTTAAGTGTAAATAAAAAAAAATGCTAGTGTAAGGCATACTAGCGTTTTTGAAGAAATTATTTTCATATCACTCTTTTGAGAATCACCCCCCAGACGCGAGATGATTTGTAGCGCCATCACATGGCACAGACTGTACAGATTATACATGTAACATTAATAGGTACATATTAACAATTTACACATAAAATACACAGATAAATAATGAGGCACGTCTCAGCTTAAAATAGCGTGTTTGCGCCAGTGGAAAGAAACGACGCACAGATAAACGATTTTGAGTATTCGATTAGAGAGCTGGGAAATGCATACCGTTGCCTACTCAGACTTTCATCTTTGGGACTCCTGGAAGGACTCACAAATCCGAGAAAATGGTAAAAGGTTATAATTTAAGGCTTCGGTGGTAGCTATTTATATAGGAAATAATTCTACATTAGTGATTTTTATTTTACTTTGCTCCAAAACATTTAACACACTATTGCTTTACAGCTGTTTATATATATTATAGTAACATTAATTCTAACTGGCGGTTTCTGATAGCGAAACTATTCTGTAAATAAGTATACAGTCATTTTCTCGGATTCGTGAACAGCCCAGCAACTCGATCGCTCGGACGAAGCGGAAAAACACGAGGAGATAGCACAAGAATATCACATCACTATCACACGTCGCTCTCGCCGTCCGTGACGTGAGCTGGCTGGCCGAAATTCCTGGTGATGGACTCGCTCACGGTGCGGATATTGGCGAGGTATCTGTGCGCCGGCTCGTCCGAATCATAGATGGCGCTGAGGGACTCTAGCGAGACTAACGCTTCTGAGTCCAGGAGGCGGGACGACGCCCTAGAAGACACGTCATCATCCCGGTCGAAGTAGCAAGAGTTTACATCGCTGAGCGCCGCCTCCGCGTCTGTCAACCCTGCCTCGTTGAGCATAGACACGTTCTCCAGAGCTGGGTCATCTGTCGTGTATCCAGTGCTCTCTGGTTGCCCACATTCACCTTCGCCTTCTCCTTCCGAACACGAGGAACTCCACTCCGATTGGCTCTCGCCGTAGATACCCATTTCTCTATGGTTAGAAGTGGGTACCTGGAACGCAAGTATTAAGATGAAAGTATTAGAAGCAATAAATATCTTTAACGAATTTAGAGTTAAGTATATTGTATTGATTTTTTTATATAAATTGAAAACTATTGATTGAAAAAAATGATGATATGGGCGGGACCTTAACAAGCTACCAACTCCAACCGATCAGTGGGTATACCAGTACAAATACATATATTGATAAAATATACCTAAGGATTTCATATTTAAAAATTAATAATTCATACATGGAACGGTTCGATGGATATAGGGCGAAGAAACAAAATAAGAAACATAGAGAAAAACAAGGTGCTCCTTGTTTTTGTCCACTAAGTTTAGTCCTGTTGGGCAGAGAGGGAATAAAGGGTGGAGGCCTTTTGCGAGGCACGCAAATATATCGCATAATAATTAATACGTATCTCCATTTTTATAGTACTAAAATCAATGGCAAAAATAGAAAATAAGTGTATGTAATGTTAGGCTTACTTTTATTATAGTTAAGCATTATTTTATGTTTCAACTTAAACCTGAACATACTTTAGTATTCAAAAGTAAAAATATGATAAAAACGTTACCCGATTATGTAGCCTGTCGACATGGTCACGCTTCTCTTTCACATTCTCTGATTCTTTCCTCGCTGGTGGTGGGCTACAAATAAATAAAGAATTACTAGCCATCATAAGTTTTAGCACGATTATCAAGAAATATAGTAATAGTCAACAACTAAATAAATGAATAAATAAATCTAAGTCTTGCGGTTTATTATCTGTAGCGTATTACTTGGTGCTTTGTTTCGAGTGTGTCGGCGAAGGTAGATCAACGACGACGTCTGTGGGCAGGACGCCTGGAAAATCGGTTCGAGGAGAGGGCAGCACGGGCGTACATATCGGCGCGGGCGCAGGACACGGCGATGGTTCAGCGCGGGCTAACTGTGTTATAGCTGCTAAGCCCACCGCATGAAGAGGACTACTGTTGTTATTGCTTGCGCGTACCGCTTCCACACAAGCGTTTGCGGCCCTGAAAAAGTTTATGAATGCTATTCAATAGATGGCGATGAAAGCGATGTAATTTAGTATGATTATAATATTTTTCTTATGATAGAAGAGGACAAATAAGCATGGGGAACTTGATAGTAGGTGAAAATCTCCGACCACATAAAATCAAAGCAAGATGCGCTGTCGACCTATTTTGGCTTTGGATATTAGGAAATTGACAGACTGAAATAGTCACTTGTCGGATTTTTCATCTGTGGATGGTGGTTCGTGACCCGGACGGATTTTCGATATTTCTACTATACATTTAATATGCAGGTTCTAGACAAAAAAATAATAATTAGAAAAATGATCGACATGGTGGGGATCGAATCCACGAACCGTAGATTATTATTAACTAACGACCCCTCAGAGTATTTAAATCCTTTCAAGTCTATTATTATTTCTTGTTTAAAAATAATTATAATTCTTGGAATTTTTATCAACGCTCTTAATACCATTCGAATGCTTACCTCAAATCCAATTTCAATTCCTTTCTCTCCAGTTTCGGGGAATTGACCAAAGCGAGATTCTTATCATCGAGAAGCCTTTGTATTTCACGCTCGAACGGCGGCACACAGGCAATATCTGACGGACTACGTTTCGTAAACACTTCCCTAGTATCGTGGTTCAAATGTTTGAGATTATTCGGTCGACTGCCCGAACTCGAAAACGAGCTAGTTCTCTGTGCGAACCTGTGAGGAACGTCCTTCTTATCCGTTTGACTACAGCCATCTCTTTTCGCGGAGCTTTGCATATTCAATATGCTCCTTTGCAATTTCTCTTCCTCTTTTTGCAGGTTTATGCTGCCATCTAAAAGTTTATCATCCAGGGAGGGCTTCTTATTTAACCTGTACTTGACATAGAAGTCGTAAATGATGTTTGGGGATTCTTTCCGAACGGGCGAGTAGTAGTCGTAACCTGGATTAGGGTTTATTTCCACCTTTTGAGGGCGAGGTTGTTGCCACTGCGTCGCACGGGGCGGTGAGGGGGATGCATCCGTGGTCCGAGAAAAGCTTTCATCTGAAGAGCTTAAGCTTGGAGAACGAGTCAGCGAGCTGAGTTCATCAGCGGACGAATGTACGCGTGGGCTGCGGGCTAGAGGTAGACTTTCGCTAGACCTCGGCCTCGGTAACCTCGCTGGAGCTCTCCTTTTATGAGCCACAGGGGGTCTTGGTTCCTGGGGTCTGGGCCAGGGTGGTACTAGCGCTCGAGGCGGCGGCCATCTTGGGTTTCCATTAATCCCATGAGGGGGAGGTGGGGGTGGAGTGTCTTCTTCCTTATTTCGACGTCCTTTACTACCTTTACCGTTTTGATGATTGTTAGGTAGTAATGGTTCGTTCTCTCCAGCTACAGACGTCTCTCGTAATGGCGGAAGGCGAGATGTTGGCACTATAGCTCGCCGCGCTGAATTTTGAAACATAGCAAGAGGCGTTGCCACACCCCCGTAAGCGGTGGGAGGATTTTGGGGCTGATTGGCTACATGATGGTTATTGGTATTCACTGGTGCTCTGTCTGTTAAGAAGTACGTCGTCATTTCCCCCTTCCCCTTCACTTTAACTTTTCCTCTACATACGAACTGATAAGGCATGTCTTTGAGAACTTGGAATACTTCTTCGGTCACTTGGGTGTGATTAGGTAGACCAGTCGAATCCATACGAGATGCTACATTAACGGTGTTGCCCCAAATATCATACTGGGGTTTTCGCGCTCCTATAACACCCGCTACTACTGGACCGACGTTGATTCCTGAAATATAGAAATAAGAGAGTATAGCTTTAATATAAAACTATATACACGAGTGTACTTTAGTATATAGTATTTTAATATATATCTGCCTCTCTTGATAAATGCAGGTTTGAATCCTGGTGAAAAAACAGGTTGTCTGAGGGCAGGGTGCAAGTCTGGTTGCATACAACCTTTTAAATAATTATCAGTGATACGGACACGATGATGTGTTCGCCCCAAGTCCCACAGAAAAAATACAAAATTTCTCTTTATTTAGGTAGTTAAATTTGAAGTATATAATAACTTACCAACACGCAGCATAAAATTATTGTAAGAATTGTCGTTAATATCCTTAAGTTTGTCTCTCATAGCGAAGACGAATTCTACAAGTGTTGCCATATGCTTCCTCGTGCTAGGGTCATCTGTCATTTTCTTATCCGGTATAAGACCCACCGCAGCCATGTACGTGGATCCAACTGTTTTTATTTTATCTATTGCACTAAAACGGTCCTCGCCAAGAAGCTGGAAACATGTGTCGTTTAAATTACTTAAAAAACAATTTCAATGAATTAATATTAACTTGTACCTGTCATTAAATAAATTAATGATATTTTTTTTTTTCATAAGTTAAAAACAAATTGTGTGTTAACTCCTAGACACAATAAATTGTATTAGGTCTTTGAAATTTCGCTAAGCTACATACACGTCTTCGGCGGACGAACATAAATTCGCTTTGACACATTTTTTATAATACAAATTAAGCTACAACAAAAATACACTGATAACCATAATACGTATGTATTAAGGTTGAAATTATATTGGGCGAGAAGTCCACGTATCAACGGATTTTTATTATATATTTTTTAATTTCTGACGCCGATAAAAGGCCGGTTAATCACTCTACGCTATTTGTTAACCATTTCACCCCATTCCTCCTTTACGGAGGTCATCAGTGGTTATGGTAATTCGACCAAGACGAGTGAAACACGGTAGCTCAATTGGTTAGAGTACGGAAGAGCATGGAACGCTGTGAAAGCCGGTTTCCAAACGTATCATATATTATTTTATATATAAACAGATTTTCAATAAAATACTGTCTATAGTTTACGCGAGTAGTACACATTTAAATAAAACCCTTTAACGGTTCAGAGCCATCCTCCATCTTTAGTCTCCCCGTGACCATGGCTGCTGCAAAGCATCCGAAACGTCGGGCCGAAGTTAAAAATCATTGTCAAATAATCATGTCTTGACTAATATATCGCGTTTTAAAGCGTTAAAGTGTTTTATTTAGATTTTTAATGGTTAAAAATTTACTAACCTCATCAAAGTCAGCGATGATTTCATTCAGCAACCTCAGACACTCCATGCCCTGGTTGTTGCCGTCCAGCTCCATGTAGAATTCGTGGTAGTTGGTGATGGAGGCGAACACGACGCCCGCACGATGGTACGACTGGTGGTATAGGTCCTGCCAACCGCGCTTCTTGAGTCAGCATTGCGTGGAAAGCCATGCAGAGTCAGGGCCAATGACAGATATACCGCTAACCGTTTTAGGACCCAGCGATAAAATTGTACTCATAACTTATTAAAATGGATACACTTTAACGGTTTAAAAGGCATCTAAAGTTAATTTAAAAAATATTTCATCTACGAACTGTCGTCTTTTCGTGGCCACGGCTGCTGCAAAGCATCCGAAACGTCGGACCGTAATTAAAATACTTTTTAAATAAGTTTAAATAAATTTCACATTTTAAACCGTTCAAGTGTTTCTATTTAAATATTTACTAATCGCGTAAATTACAGACAGTATGTCACGTAACTTATATTGCGTAAAATCTCTATAAAATAAATTATCGCTGGGTATAAAATAAGATAAGTTTTGGCTGTGTATTTATCGAAGCGTTTAAAAGCATGACTGTTGACCAAAACGTATCTTGCTTCTATAAAACGGCATGCGGTTTCAGTGAGTACTAATGTGTTCTTTAGTTGTATACGCCACCAAATTTAAAAGAAAGTACTTTCTTGTATACAGTGACTATAAATACAAGAGGTATAGAATTTGCAAATATTTATTTTGAACTGTCACATGACCCTTGATTCCTTTTGTGCAAAGTGCGCCACACGAATACCAAGCTTGCGCAGATGATGAGTGAATGATTGTGTTGAACGATGATCGAGTGAATGATTATTATTACGCGTCATGATTCATGCGGTAGCAGAAAAGACTTTAAAGGTTGCAATATGGTTTATAGCGATGTAGCGTAGAAAATCTTTCCATTTTAATCAATTTAGCATAAGCGCAGATGTGGCTATATGTTTTAAAATTACCATATTAGTTCTGAACTGATTGTCGAGGAAATGTGTCGCCACGTGCGCCGGAAGAAGATTGAATAATATCCGCCTATTAGAAGCCTGTAACATTAAGTATTTGTATCAAATAAACATCTTAAAAAAACAAAGTTAAGTACAACGCCATCTAGGATATATATAATAGGAAGGACAAAGAATACCTGTAACGCATCCATGTCTCTTTTTTCATCCCTGGCCTGCACCTGCCATAGAAAGTCTAATCTGGCAGTCCATTCAGTTTGACGAGCGTGAAGTAAAACCGCTAGCGCTAATGCCACCGCCCATGCGCTTGATACATACGCCGAACTAATCGCACCAGAACTGAAATAAGAATTTTTATATTGTAAATTCACATCGTTGAAACGATCGTTTTCAATTATTAAAATAAATAGACTTGTAAAAAAGAAAGACGTAGTTAAGGTATTTATAATAAGCTTAACTAAGTTCAACTAATATATATCGCATTTTGGACCGTTAAAAATGTTTTATTTAAACAGCAAAATGTTTATTTTGTAAAAATAATTAAATATAAGTAAGATTGGATGAACTAACAAAAGTATTCTTATGCTACCGTATACACTTTAACAAAATGATAAATACAGTTCTATTTATAATTTACACAGGCCATAAAACAGTTTTCCCGGATTAAAACGCAAATCATATAGGTTTTAATTATTTAATAAGACAACTGTTTTGCAAGCTCTACAGACGCGATTGTCTTGTGAGACACACGTGAGTAATACTTACCTAATAAAGCTACATACTGAAGTTGCGTTTTGAACCGTTTGAAACTGTATTATTCAATGGAAAATACAAATTAATAATGTAATACTCACTCAGTCATGAGGTCGTAGCAATCGAAGAGGTATTTATGGTAAATCAAAATAACAGCGACATATCCGGCGGTCATCACAGCTAACAGGATCCCCTTGACCAAGATCGGAAGACGCAGGAAGACGGCAACTGTTAGCATACTCAAGCAGCATCCGAGGGTTATGTACAGGGGTACGGGGCACATCCGGTGGATATCAGGACTACTCCATAATGTAGAGACTACATCCTCTCTCATCGATCTGAGCCCATCCATATTCGTGGTGTTCTCTGTCAGGTTTCCACATACGTTCACTGGTTGGCACGATAACTGGAATGTGGTAATTTCAAAATCGTCAGGTTTTTAGATGTTTACGCAAATATGCACAATAGATCGAGAGCGCATCTAGTTTAGATGGTATGAGGCTGGGAAATTTGGGTTTATTTATCGATCTACGTGTTATTTCAGTGGTAATAAACCTTTTTTTTCCTTTTCAAATAAAGCTATATACTAAGCGATATATAATCTCGATATTGACCTATATAGCTAGCTTAAGAGATCCTCAGACTAAACACGAATTTCGATTTCATTCTGTGAATTTCTTAATTATGGAGGTGGTGTGTTTTTATGGGTTTTCTATCTGCGGACAGAATTTTCTATATGCCAGCCGAGAGTGATTTAAGGTTGACAAATGTCACTTTATCAAATTTATTATTTCTCGTTCATTTCGTTTTCTTTACGACAATACGTCGCTAAAAGTATAAAACAAAAAAATGTATATGTTATTGTATATCATAGTGTCAGAATATCGTTATCCCGATAGTGTGTGCAAGGAAGTGGAAGTAACGAGGAAGAATGAGTCTTACCACGTTAGCTTGTCCAACGGCGTAACCCAATACAATAGTGAACGTAGTGATAGCGTTTCGTAAAGCGAAAGGTCTCGATACATCACAAGGGATAAGTCTAAGTCTCGCTGCAAGCGTAAGTACTAGAACTGCGGCCGACCACACAAACGCTATTACGAAGAGTATTAAAAGTATCAATGTGCGTGGTAATATAGCGGCTTGGAGAGCCCCAGCGGCCACTAAAGCACCTAATGCTGCACTCAGAGAACCGGCCCATCCTCCGTCTGTTGATGCGCGATACTGAAAAATTAAAAAAAAAGTCTTGATATATATTTAGAGAAGTAATTAAGGTCTTTGGTGGAATCTCTAATCTAATAAGTTTAACGTCTACGTCTACCTAACTTCTGTTTTTTTTATATTTGTAATAAAAAGTTGTTTCAAAAATAAGTAATTATTTAATAACTACCTTATCATGTCATCATAAGTGCCAATCAGTGCCCTAAAATTATATTATATTAGTGTTTAAATAATTATCATATTTAAATAAAATGCTATTTATGTAAATTTAATCCCTTCAAGGCATTCTCTTAACTATTTTGTAAACAATATTTTAATTATTTAATATTTATTATTGTTTAAATTGTTAAAAGTAAATTTAGACTTATATTATTTGTTTTGTTACATAAACAAAACAAAATTTGATTTGCATCCAACTAGTAACGCCATCTGTTGTGATTGTTTGTAACCTTGTCAGGAAATGAAGTTTATTAATAAAATAAATGTAATTCGGGAAGAATAAATCTTTTGGAGTAATGTAAAATTCATTATACTCATTTTAAAATACAGTATAGTGTTATACTGGAAACTGGTGCAAAAATAAAAATCTTCTGTGTGCATTTTCATAATGATTTGGACACGAAGCACCTGTCACACATTGAGCGCAGTATAATTTTTGCTTAGGATGTAATTTAGGGCACTGCACAGAGAACTAATTCAACTCGTAATTTGTAAATTTAACTTTAAAATAGAATTAATTCAAATTAAATACCTGTTCCTCCTTATCCGGTTCCTTGAAGCATAACGTCAGCAGATGAACGTGCGTGGCCTTTTCGCGATGAACAGACCGCGCATCAATGGCCTGCGCGAGGTACTTGTTCACTCGATTGGTGGGCTGGTGGTACACAGACGAATGACGCTTTTTCAAAGGCCGCTTAAATTTCTCCGTAACTTTATTCTGTAATAGTACATGGGTAATTAAAATTATGACCTTAGAACAATCTTTTGTTGAAGACAAGGGTCGTGATTTGGGCCAGGGTACATAAGGAACACATCATGCCGACGTCATCCATGCTACATCCATAGTATGGACTGACCTTAGAAACGAATCATCCAGATTTCCAGCAGCGTACATTATTAGAATTGCAATAGAGATACACCAAGTAATAGAAACATCGATTGAAATTGAAAATCGGAGCGAATAGATAATTGAGAATTGAAATCACTCTTACAGACATAAAGTTCATTTGAATAGCATTTCAACGTTACCTGGTTAAAAGTTCTTATCGCATCTAATCGTTAGTGACTTAAACTATTTTAAAATGAACTCCATGCAACATAGGGACATGCCATGCCGTGCGAGTGTTGGCCAGTCGGGGCAGCGAGTGAAACACAGTTTTGTGCGTTCGACTTTATTTCCAAACAAAACCAATAACAGTCATAATTATAAATAGATTAACAAGAGAAAATAAGTCGCAGTAAGACAGTGGTGGCAACGGTTCGAAGTGCTCGCGTCTTCTGTACCTCGGTTGCTCATTTGTTTTGGAGGAAAGACGCGAAACGGTGGCGTGAGGTGGGTAGAGTATAGACGTAAGAAGTTAGGACAATAGTTTGTGTCACCCGGTGTACGGTGGGAACAATTATACACAAGAACAACACTCTGCGCTTACTGTTTCAGCGGATATTTGTTGTGGAACTAATGTCCAGGGTCGGAATATCTGAAAAACAACGAGCAGACGAGTCATATTAGTTGCCGGTGTGGTCAGCCTAGCGGTAAGTTCACATCGAGGTCCAAACTTGGAGCACAGTCGTGGGGCAAGGTCGTAGTCATGGATCGCAACTTATTTCTGTCACGCAAAGCTTGGACAAACCGGCAACTAAAATGGCGAATACGGAAACTGTCGAATGTCACATAGAAGGACAGTGCAAATGAGAAACTAACGTGTACAGAGAGGAGGAAGCCCGTTTTCATCTTATTGGAAAATGAAAAGCTTTAGACAATATTCGTATAAGAAGCGCCACACATTAATAACTTCACTCAAAAAAAGATCTGCGAAGCCATCGTCGTTTATTTGCGGTTTGAAAACCAGTTTAGAGAAGCCAAATAAAAACACGAAAACCAGCAACTGAATTATTAATACTGTAGTCTTTGCCTCGCTACATAACCTAGCTTTTTTTTGTATATATTTTAGCAATGTGAAAGCGCGTCATAAGATTCACGTAGACCTAACGAAAATTCAAACTACTTCGCGTCTAGTTACATTCTATTAGTTTAAATAGCTTTAAGTGCAAAAATTCGTAAAGCAATCCAAATAACACTGCGGAATTCAGAAAATGATTGGAATTGATTTTGTTTAGGCCTGGGGCAATATGGAAATTGAGCGTTCCCCATGTTAGCGTACTTCCCCTATGACAATTGACTTAAGAACGTATCTTTGAATTGCTTCACGTGAACACAATGTTAGGCGTATGAGTGTATGTGGACCGTTGCATGTGTGCGTAGTGCGTGGTGTTGCATGACCGCGTCGAAGGTGTGGTTGTGCGGGGCTGTGGCGGGCGATGCGGGTGCGGGGCGGGGGCGCAGCGCGCTCACGTCTTCCTTCAGCGCCGCCAGCCGGAGTGCCTCCGCCGACCCGGGCTCCGCGTGCAGCGCCCGACGCAAATCCTGCACCTGCCGCCAACATGCACCACTTCACCTAACACCTCAGCGCTTTTGCCCTTCCTCATGTTGCGCGTTTATAAACCTCTTGTCCTACCCTGAACAGCTAAGGTTCAATACCATACCCAATACTGACCTCAATGATGCTACCTTACAGTCTAACATATTCAAGAAAAAACGAAGAAGACATTATAACAATCTTCAACAAATTTATAATTTTATTACTCATATTGATTTCTTTGCATTACTATTTGACGATAATTAAAGTAGTAGTCGATAAGAGAACTTAACTCCTTGGGAGTAAAAACTCTTTTGTAAGAAATATACTAAATAACATCCTTTTTTTTAATTTATAGAGGACAGATAAGTATGAGGTTCACATGATGGTAGGTGAAATATCCCATCCATATAACATCTAAACAAGATGCGCTATCGACCTATATGGGCTTTGGATAATACGGAATTAATACAGTGTCGCTATTTAGGGCAAAAGACGTAATAAAAATTTCAAGATGAAAAAACTATCCTATTTACCTCGATATAGTCCCACTCGCTACTCTATGAACATCGCAGGCGCCAAGCATACAACACAAGTGCGCATACGCATTACGTACAATTCACGGACACCGAAAGCGAAGTTAATTAATTATAGCGAATGGCGCCTACTATCTCACAGCTTCTCAGGGGATTCTGTACCGTAAACTATTTATACACTTTTAACAGGGTTCTAGGACTATGAGCTTAGAAAATGTTATATCAGTAAATAGAATAAAATAGCTTACCTTGAGGGCCGTCAAAACATCACTAAGCAAACGTGATACGAAAAACGTAGACACGGTCTTGTTATATTTAGGCGTGTCTGATAACAGTGCAAGACGAATTTATAGACGGCACAGTGCATAGAGAGAAATATATTTTAATATTAATTCCTATTTGTTTTCGCGGTTTGATGTCGTAACTACCTTCCTGGCGGCGTTCGCTTTGAGCTCCTGCGGGGAAGCGGCCATGTTGGAAAAGGGGACGTCCACGTTGAATTTTATCGAGTGCAATAGTTGTACTACGACGTTAGATACGTTTTTGAAGGAGAGCTTTCGCCGCGATCCCGAGCTTAAGCCCATTGCGGCGGTCAGGCACATCTGAAAAATACCGTTGAAAGATCATTACATACTGTCTATAGTTTACGCGAGTAGTACACATTTAAATAAAACACTTTAACGGTTTAAAACGCGATATATTAGTTAAACTCATTTGAAAATGATTTCCAACGTCGGTCGTTAATCAAATCTGTAAGGACCCGGCCAGTTTCGAAAGCGTGGAACAGATGGCGCTAGCGTAGCAATTTTTTACTTTGACGTCAGACATCCTCCATCTTTAGACTCCCCGTGACCACGACTGCTGCAAAGCAACCGAAACGTCGGGCCCAAGTTGGAAATTTAATTAGTTAAACTCATTTGAAAATTTGTTTTAATATAAAAAAAAAAAATATAGTATAAAAAAAACTTTGACATAATAGAAGAATAAAATAAGTAATTTACTTAAATAAAACAATTTTAACGATTTAAAACGATTTAAAACCTGCACTAAAAAAGTACATGAAGAATGTTAAATTAAACTTGACGATAAAGGGAATGACGGCGAGTTTATTGCTAGTTCTTCTCGTTCGTTCTACGTTCTTGATTTGAGAAATGTAAAGTTAGATTCTTTGTTTTGTGACGGTCATAAGTGTACCTGTAATGTTTAACTTTAACTTTGACGCTATATATTAGTTAACTTATTTATGATTTAACGACGTTCCAATGTTTGGATGCTTTGCAGCAGTCATAGTTACGGGGGATCGTATTAAAAGTAAACTCGAGTAAACTACAGACAATACTTAACTAAATTACTAACAAAGTTAGGTAGGTAAACAAAAGTACAATATTCTACAAAAACTTTGAAAACTTTAATATTTGCCACATGATGGCACTATATAAATTATAATCAAATACAGATTGAGTTAGAACCAGCTCGGAACGCTGTGGTGTCGGTTTAAGTCCTCTCCGTGGCGTTTTTTTTTTATCTATAATCTATTTTAAATGTATAAAGAAAGCGCTTCGTCATATAATATTAAAAATTGAACTTAGGATTAAAATCTATGATGATGAATCTGAAATTTATTTCCAGGTATTGCAATCTAGGACTAGAAATGAACAGCAAGTTGTATTGTTCTTTATCGTCTGTCATACATAAGAACAAAATGACGGATTACTTCGCTTACAAGCCACAATAAAACAAACTAAACTTTACCCTCGAGGACTAACAATCACGAAAGCAAAGTACAAATAATTTGAGCCCATGAAATTTTAATAAGATAAGTCAGCCAACATCGGGGGGTTACACGACCCTTGTTGATTTATTTACCACAATTGACCTGATTTCTTCGACAAAGAAAGAGCAGACTGTTTGCTATTAACCAGGAAACCCAAGGAGCTGGTAGCTCGTTAAACAAAGTTTTTTATAGAGGACTAGCTGATACCAACGTTGTCCGCGTCACGTCGTTCTTGCAAGTTAATCTTAAAAGATAGACATATACTGTCGTGAAAATTTTTGGACAATGTTACCCCTTGGTTTTTTTTTTTGAGCCAGCCTGGGGTTTGGAAGTAGGAAGTGTCTTCACCGCCATGCCTATAGCTATCATCACGTTACCAATTTAGTAGCGTGGCTGTCATATAACCATTCAACTAACCTGAACAAGTGTGCTTGAAGCTCTAAAAATCATATGCAAGTGGGCTAACATTGGGAAATGTTTAGTAAGTATTGTTCTTTTCTTCACTAAAGGTTTACTCAATCTTTACTAATATTATAAATGCGAAAGAAACTCTGTCTGTCTGTCGGACTTTAACTCAGAAACTACTGAACTTATTTAAATGAAATTTGGTACACAGATATTTTAGAGCCTGAGAAACGACATAGGCTTAGACATATACTTTACTGCCAAAAAGGGCTGAAGGTATGTAAAAGGGGATGAAATTTTTTATGGAAATTCGTGGTTTTTGAAGCTAAAACAGTGAAACTTTCTTCATTGGCTTTGTGGGAATAGGAGTGGGAGTGGAAGTGGGAGTTAGAGTAATAGAGTGATGTGAGGAGAGTGTTGTGGCAAAGTAGCACGTACAACATAAAGTGGCTGCCTTAAATACGCCCTTACGTAAATTAATAAACAGTCTAAATAATTAAAAATTCTACCCTAAGTCACTATACCACGCGGGCGAAGTTGCGGGCAGAGCTAGTATTATATAAAAGTCATTGTTTTAGTCTGTTTCATCGCGGGCAAGTAAAAGTAAGGGTGAACGCACCTTTCTCCTCCTGGGCGGCGGAATAATGAAGTAGGTCTGTATGGAATGATCACGTAAGTACGCGTTCCGACTAGCGCCGTGCCCCGGCTCGACTTCGTATGCTCCTCCGAGGCACTCCAGCGTCGCTTGAGTTATATGCACTCGCCTGTAATATGCAAATGTTGCACTTGAGGGCGGGTTCTTACCTTTGAGTTCAGTTAAGCGCTATGAACCCCAAAATGCTATAAGCCATAAATTATTTAATCTAAAAAAAATGTAATTATGTTGTATGTAAAATCCCTAAGTTTTTATCCTGCAATAAGACAATAATAGTTCTTTTTAAACGACTACAAGAAAGGAGATTCTCAATTCTACCGTATTTGTGTCGTTTATGAACCAATTCTCCAAAGTAGTAGTTCTTTTCAAGGTAACTGCATACGATACTTTAATAAAATCCCCAGCGAAGTGCAAACACTCTCAATAAATAGGTTTAAATCGTATGTAAAACAAAAATTGCTTGAAAAGGGTTATTATCATGTTAATCAATATTTAAATGATAAAAATGCTTGGGGTGTGGAGGAACCCGCTCTTACAAGGAAAAATATGTTGTGTACTAAAAGTAAATCAAGAATGTAAAATGAAACTTGGCGATAAAAGGAGTGACGGCGAGTTTAATGCCAGTTCTTCTCGTTCGTTCTACGCCCTTGATTTGAGAACTGGTAGTAAATGTAAAGTTAGATTCTATAATTATTTTGTGACGTTCATAAGTGTACATAGTTACCTACATGAATAAATGATTTTTGACTTTGACTTTGACTTTGAATTTTGCTAAAACGAATAAATTTTTTGGTAAGATAGTATTTGAATGTTTTCGAACTGCGACTTTTTTAAAAAGAGAATATCCTTAATCAAATCCAAAATCAATCCTTAAAAAGAGAATAAGGTATCCTTAATCTATTCTTTAGTTTCTTGTAGGAAGCTTTCGAAATATCATATTTAAAAAAAAATAGTTTATTTATTTAAGAAAACAGGAAACAAACAGAAATATCACAGAATCATAATATAAGGAATAAAAATTTATATATATGTAGAGTACAGATATTCCCTTAAATAGTTAGAAGTTGTAGTAGTAGTTTGAGCCATAAACTGCGAGATTATTAAAACCTACAACCCAATAGTTATCAAACGCACGACCTATTAGTTTCTGAGCATAAATGTCTACCACCATAGAGGTCCTATTGTTGTGTGAAGTATTTACCCCGGTTCGCCACCAGCTTCCATGTTGTTCGCGAGCGTGACGTCATTAGACCACACGTCGTACTGCCACTTGCGCAAACCGAGCACCCCGCATAGAACTCGCCCAGTGTGGATGCCCACGCGCATGTTTAGTTGTACATCTGTCGCTTCCACTACAGATCTGAAAAAAGTAAGAAAGTTTTTAGAATTATATTTTAGATACAGAAGTTAATGTGAACATGAAACCACGTCTGCTACAATGCAACAGTAACGTCGGGTCGTAGTTAAATAAGTTTAACTAATATATTTCCCTTTTAAACTGTTAAAGTGTTTTATTTAAATGTGTAACTACTCGCATAAACTACAAACAGTATTTAAGTCTACTTTAATTAAAATGTACATAGTTGTTAGTTCGTTGAATAGAATTCTCAAGCTAATTTATGCAAATAAACGCTTAAAACAAAAGCGTAAATATTTACAGAATGAATCTCCACGGAATATAAATCACCTCTCAGCGATAATTCCCATGGTATTGAGTTGATAAAGTGTCAGTGAGACAAATAGCTGGGGACTTGGCAGCAAGAACTGTGTATGTACTGAATATTTATGCGCGCAATATAAACATAATGTATGGTCAGCGTCAAGTTTTAGTGGGAAAAGCGCGTTAAATTAATTTTGTTCTTGGCCCATTTCGAAAGTCACCTGTTTACGTAAACAAAGTATTATATTAAACAAATACTTTAAACGGTTTAAAAAGTGATAAATATTTGGCATTTGTTTTAATTACGACCAGACGTTTCGGATGCTTTACAACTGGCATAGTCTGTAGAAGTGTCCCTAATGTCACCATCAAATCTGCTACGCCAACGCCATCTGGTTTCTGTAGTTGGCCATACAACTTTTGGACCCAATATAAGCGTTAGAAGGACCAGAGAATACATTTTTTTTTTAAATATATCCCGTTTGAAACCGTAAAATGCGTCTTAAATGTGGTACTTGTCTTAAGTGTGTGTAAATTGTGTATTTTAGAGCTGGAGTCAATTCTCAAAAATTGATATCTTTGTAAGTTCGTCAGTTTTATAAAAAAAATCCTTTATCTCGAAGTAAATCATTCATTACCTTTATGAGCTGTAATAATTCAGAATAAGCCATCACTAATTACTAATTTCAATCCAAATTCTACTAAAAGTAAAAAAAAATCAATATTTATGATATACATTTAAAAACCGCGTGTCAGACAAAGATTTTGCTTGAATATGTGTCTCATTAATATTCTGTTCAACCTAAACAAAACATTTAGGCAAAAGCCCCAAAAGAAACAAACATGTAACTAATGAGATCTCACAAACGTCTTAAACAAATACTGGCTTGTTTTACTTCTATTTCTCAGAACACCAAGAACGAAATTGACTTAGTAAATAAGGCACAATTATTTAAACACGGGCGAGTCAAAAACGTTGAAGCCCGGATTTGAGTTTTTATCCGTTTTTAATGACGATAAGCCAGGATTGAGGATCTTATGAAGGTTGACGTTTACATGTGCTAAGTTCTGAAGATCCGTACATAGACACAATTACAGTGAATGGTGTTGGCTAGCGATATATTTGAAAAATAATACGCAGTTGTTCTAGAGGTTGTATAAGTTAAATAGGGTAAAACCTACAGAAAAATAGTTATTAATATAAAAGAAAACATTTCCCACAAAAGGATATCATTAGTCAAAATATGTACATATTATTATACTACATATTAGACGTATTTTTTCCCCAGTGATATCACCTAGTTACAATTCAAATTAAGATAATGTATTATCAAGGAAATTGTTATATTATTTTATTATTAAGCCGGTCTGAACTCGATAATATGCAATCCTAAATTAACAGTTCAAACAATGTAAAACGCACGTACTCACGAGCTCGTGGTAAACGACCTCCGCTTTACGGTTTCCCCTGAAGTATTTTTGTTCACGCCAAACCGACTATTTCCTAGCGTTCCCATTAATGCCTTAGAACGCCAGTATATTTTGTGGCATTAGCTTCAATTGTATCTATTATTATAAATATTATTTAGAAAGAAACCTTGCCATCTGATAAGAGCCAGCAGAAAATAAGCGCTTTGCAAGTCGTGCTGAGCACCAGCTGAGTCCGCTCCTTTGTAGCACACAGTTAAAATTTTACTTTTTTCAGTATCCAAACTGTAAGTTTTTTTTTAGTTGTAAGGTATGTACAAGTCTTTGTGTTAATAAATGTTGCTAATATCGTTCTTTTTCCTCATAAAATGCATTCCTAAATTTATCTAAAGAGATCTCTTTTTTCAGAGAAGAGAGAGTTAAAGAACTTAGCATGCTCGCTAAGGTAAAGTACCGGGTTAAAGGAAAATGACCATGATACCAAATACTGTATTTCATCCAGGATCGGAACTCGGGATCTACAGGCACGTTCACAACTACGGCGACGAGGCGTTTTTAATACGTTGGCATATCTTCAATAAAACATGAAGACGTTAGACGTACTTATTTCTGTAACGCGAAATAATATGCGTTTTAACATTTCGAGTTTGGTACGGGGAAAGCAACAATTTATCAAAGCCGAGAGAAAAATGTCGCAGAGGAGAATAATTTTGCGTGAACTCGCGTATTAGGTCTATTTTCATTATTACACTTTCTTTTGTACAGTAAATTATGATTACACATAAGAACTGGGAAAATTTATGGATAGAATAAATATTTGCGACCGAGGATTTTTTAATTTAAGAAGTCAAAAATTTCCAGCATTAAGGTAATACTAACCAACTGAAATCGAACGAAACACTGTCTGTAGTTTACGCGAGTGGTACACATTTAAATAAATAAAACACTTAATTGGTATAAAACGCGATATATTTAATTATTTTTAACAACGGCCCGACGTTTCGGATGCTTTGCAACAGATGTGATCATGGCTGCTGTTTTATTTAAATAAAATCGAATGACTTAAGGCCTATATGCCTAATAGTGAGAATATCCTACGTATAATATAAGACTAGCTGACCTGGCAAATGTTATTTTGCCATTTGAAGTAATTTGACCAAAATTTGATAAGTATTAAAATGGTTCTTGATTGTCAATGTTATAAGAGAGACATACACCTTTTCTTGAACTCTTTTTTGTAACGCACGCAAGGAAAACCCTGGAAATGAAAAGCTGAAATTTTTCTATATTGCCCAACTATTCATTCGGTCGCAGCATGATATCTTATAACCTAAGACTTTTAGAGAATTTTTAAATTAAAAAAGAAGATTTTCAAAAATAAGTCTGTTTCTATTGATCGGAATATTTCTATTCTTCGATAAATTAGAGCTGAGGAGCTTTGTTTGCAAAAATAAATTTTGATCTCCGAAATACCTATTTAACGCGTATGCACGGAGTCGCGTGCAGAGGTAGTAAACAGGAAAAAAAACTTTAACGGTTTGTAACGCGAAATATATTAATTAAGTGCATTTTAAGATTTGTAAAAGCCGTGGCCACGAAGGGTTTGATATCGTTAAAATATAGTAACGTTTAAATAATGTATATTGTTATTGTTAGATAATTAATTCAAAACAGGCGAAGACCTGTAAACCTACCTTCATTTAGATAACCGAACAACAATATACAAAACTAACTTACGAACAATCTCGACAAACCATAGAATTAATTAGACGCTTAGCTTGAATAAGTTATCCATATCAGTTGCTACAACAAGTAATAATTGAATTTACTCTGTCTTAATATTGTTTCGAACCCAATCAACAGACTCGGATTATAAACAATATTGATATCTTGTAATTACATAAATTAATGATTAAAATTTGTATACAATATATAAACCGTTAAAAGTTTTTTTTTTATAAATATATAATAACCGTATTCAATATACTAGTAAAGTCGGTCTTTTTCTAGGTTCTTTTTATTATATGTGTCGAAATTTTTATTAATTATTTATTTATATCAATACTGCCCGCTATGAACCAGGGTGGTGGGTCTGAGGTTTTAAAACGTTTCTCGTGTGAACTAGTATATATGCACCCAACAGAGGAATATTAATAGATAAAAAAATTACACTCATTGAAAATTTTCATATTTTACTGAAAAAGACATTGAAGAAAATCGACGAACGGAAACATGATCGTCACATAAATAGCATTTTGTTCATCCATTAATAAATGTCACGTAGTAGTTTCATTCAAGCTAAAAATACATGAAAAGCAATAGGAGTCGTGGGGGGGAATCGAAGTGTCGCGGGTCGAGTGTTACCCCCTGTATCCCCACAGCGTGACAGCGTACGCGATACGTGTCATTATCAAGTGACAAGTGACATGTAACAACCCGTTGACATGCTATAAAGGATCATGAAGGGTGCTTCCACACTCGTATATAGTTTTATAAGCGTGGAGTGCCTTTCGAGGGCTAGGTCTGGATTTTATAATTTGACTATTTCAATTGGCGTTCTCTAGCAATTTACAGCTAAAGATTGATTAAGCTCAGAACTACTAGAAATAATTAAAGAAATACTAACGTAATATACTTTGTACAGCTCTTTATAAACTTAGTTATTTAATAGCATATATGAAATTCACATGGACAGTTATTATCCATAGTATCGGTCCTATTTTATGGCTAATCTAAAACATAATAAGTAGTCGTAAAAATATAATAAAACAGAGAGAAATGTACTTAATAAATATAAATATTAAATATTTTTCACATGATAGCATTATGTAAATTAAAAATCGATTATGAATTGATAAAAACATGCTACTCGAGCAGGCCTTGAACCGACATCCACTCTTGTCCAATGTTTTCACTTTTTAGGGTGAACCCTAATAATGATTTATAATCCGAATTGACTTCGCACTTCAAGTAATGACAATTCAATTTGTACAGTTATTTCAATAACATTGGATAATTGCCTTTATTTTTATTATTATTATTAATAATTGCATCAACTTATAGCTAATATTGTCTAGTCATGTTTTTAACAATATGGTAGATATAAAAATATAATTTGTCGTAATACGGCCCAGGCGAAGCTGATAGTTATCTTCCTCCATCACCAATGAGACTTTCCGTAGTTATAGATTTTTTAAAGTCATTAAAACTCGATTTATGCTCCACAGACTATGGCTTTAACGACGCTTTATAACTTTTGTTCACTTTTCAAT